ATTTCTAAGTTCTGGGAAAGTGCTGATGAGTAAAAACAAAATCTTTTAATTTATGAAAACTAACTTCTGCGTTCTGGAAAAGCAACCTGCTCCAAAATGCATCTAGTAAATTCAGACAAACTAGCCTCAAAGTTCTGGGAAAGTAATCTCTAACTTTTAGGAAAGTAATCATCAAGTCCAAGCAAACTGACCTCTAGATTCTGACAAAGTAACTTGTAAGTCTTAAAAAGTACCTACCAAGTTCTGAGAAAGTAACCTCTGAGTTTTAGGAAAGTAACTTATAAGTTAAAGTATCCTGTAATTTCTAGGAAAGTGACTTATATATTCAGTCTAATTTAATCTAATTGCATACTATCAGATTTAATTTGTCAGGTAAAGTTTTACCAGATAACATTTTATGACTTGAACAATATTCATGCTTTTCCTGAAAAGTCTGTCAACCCAACTCAGCATTTTCACTCCAAGGTGAAGCTTGTTCCCAGAACTCTTCCCTTTGCCTCCCAAACCATTTGCGGTCTTCCTGGGCAAGATTTCAAGGCGTAGTCATGGGGAGAAGGTTGTCTGCTTTGGGAATGCCGGAGTCTGTTTGCTTTTTGCAGATGTTGTGGTTCTGCTGCCGCTTTCAAGCTGCAACTTTAGCAAGAGTTGGACTGTTACACAGCTGAGCATGAGGTGGTGAGCATGAAAGTTCACTTCTCTAAATCTGAGATCATGGCTTTCCTCTGGGAAAAGGCGGAGTGCTTCATGCGGGTTGAGAATTGTCCCTAAAAGACGACAGCAAAGAGGATAAAATGAATAGATGACTCTGGATTTGTCTGGAGCCCTGCAGTGACTGATCCGGTATTTTGAGGTGAAGAAGGAGCCGAACTAAAAGGTGGATTTTCTGGATTTACTGGTCCAGCTACGATCCAGCTCTGACCTTTGACAGACAGAATGAGATCCTGGTACAAGAAGTTGCCTCTTCTGCAGAAAGACTAAACTCTGGGAGTATTTGGTGTAGAGAGGGAACCCCAGATATAGAAACGACAGACAGGACACAACCGCTGAGGTTTAATCTCTTCTCCTGTTGTCCTGGCCCGTTTTCTGGTTGATACTTTGAGGAAAGCTCACTAGCTAGTGTTGCAAAGTCTTTAAAAAAAAGAAAGGAAGGACAGCTAGGCTTAGATGGAATCGTCAGGGTTGTTTTTATTTTTGGGGTTTTTCTGGGTTTGTATTTTTGACCTTATTTGTTTTCCATTTCCTTTGTTTTCTGTCTGACCTTAGAACAGTGCATTCTACATTGTTGAGATATTTGTTGAGGTTAGGAGGCCCTCAATTAAGGAAAGAGTGGAGTTTAGTCAAGTTATTTGTATTTAGAGACATCTTTATAACATTTTATTTGGAATATATAATCAAAAGGTAACTTCAGATTATTTTAAATGTTAGTTTATGCAATCAAAAACATCCCAAGCTGGACCAGCTCTGGGAGAAGGCTATTCTTAATATTTGGTGAAGTACATCTTGTGCTAGATTACAATTTATTTAATTTAAAATGCCACATAAAGTTCACCACTCAAAGTCCCAACTGTGTGAAATTTACCCACAAGTGTTGGATCAGTGTGTAGCCACTCCATGAAACCTAAACCACAACATTTTGTAGATTTTGGAATATTCAGCTGCTCTTTCTGAAGCTCTTTAAATGCCAGATTGACATAAAACCCTTTCTTAACAATTTTTGGTTTTCCAGTTGGTGTACTAACATTAGTACAGTGTATAGGTACAATGTGTGTCCCTTCTAGCCAGGCACACACATTTTAGGCCTTTGGAAATTCTCTAAAACACCTTCAACTTCTTTGTGGTTTCAAGATGTTATGTCATTTCTAAAACTAGAGAAAGAAGATCTGATAACTGCAGTGGCGTATCAGGACCAGGCAGCAGAGGAGCAAATTTCAGGCAATTTTAAAGTACAAAAAAGGGAAATTTCAGAAAAAGTTAAAAATTTGCTAGAAAAAAATTAAAAGTTTTTGAGAATATTCTCACAATCTCAAAAAAGCATCCCATAAGAAAAAGTATTGAATGACAAATTTTCATTAAAAAAGAAACATAAAACTCTGAGTGTCAAAAGTCGAAATCTGTCGACATTTCAAACTCATAAAATTTCCAAAAGCTGAAACATTTGTCTTATAAAACTGGTTTTTCATTAAATTTTTCTAGCAATTTTTCAACTTTTCAAACTGAAATTTGCTTGTTTTTATAGAAAATGTCTGAAATTAATCTCAGAATAGTTGAGTTTTCTGAGCTTAACTTCAAAGTTTCTGAGAGTTTGGGCAGAAATGGACTCCTTTTCTCCATTTTCCATGGCCATAATATGCCATGGCAGAAAACTGGAGGTAATTTTGGAAAACCTGATCAGGTTTGGGGCTTTTTAATACGTGGATGTGCGTTTGTGTTTGTCGTTTTAGCCATTGTAAATTCTGCTGAAGCTGGAACATGGTAAAAAATGACCCAATATGTACTTAAAAAAGAAAAAGGAGACATACACAAGAAAAGTGGATTACACTGAATTGTAATATTGCATGTTTCCTTTTTCTCTAAATAAATACATTTCATAAGAAAATAAAATGACACAAAACCATGATTAGAAACCTGCAGAAGTATCAGATAAAAGTGAGACCCAGAGTGAAATGTTGAAATTTTGAGTTTAAGACACCGGAACAGCAGCATTATCCTGTTTCCAGACACGTGTCCAATCAGAGTGTGTGTGTAGTGTGTGTGTAGGCTGGAGTAATGAGGTGGAGACGGTTGTCCATTACTTCCTGAGATGATGGGCTCCTCACAGCAGCGCTCCCACAGCTGGAGAAGACGAGGAGGAGGCTCCATGAGGAGAACATTCAGCCACATTCACGTCGTGTGTTTGTGTCGGAGCATCTTTAACTCCCACTTCATCCGATGACAGTAATAACAATAATGATCTTACTTATGGTACACTTTTAAAAGGAGGAGATGGATTTTTTTCTCTCTTTTATGGAAAACAATTGGAGGTTTATGGGAAAAAGAAACTTAACTGTTGAGAAATGTTTGAAGAAAGATTCATTTGTTTAATGCTCAACACAGATTTAATAAAATGTGGTAAATCAAATTTAACAAGATCTTTATGTTGAACATAAACCCACATTTCTTCCATGTTCAGATTCAACACAGATAATTAACTATTACAACTTGACATGTGAGAAAAAGAACATCTTTACATTTACATCTGGAACAAAAACATTGTTCCAATTTTTTTATGTTGGTCTAACAAATTTCCAATTTTTATAACTTTATATATTTTCAAATATTTCATGTGAATCATGTTTTTGCACTATTAAACATCCCAAGTCCACGTGTTTTTTTCATGTGACTCATGTCCACCTGTCAAAATGTGTGTACCATATTTAATGTTTTTTCTTTAATAATCTCTAAAAACTCATCTTATAATTTGTGCTTCTCATTACGTGTCCTCTGCTCACCGAGGTTGTCAAAGAAACATTTCTATGCATTTTGAAACCCTCCAAATATTTCCTAAACATGACTCATAGCTTAAATATTTATTAGTTAAATATTTTTGACTACAGTAGACGGTAAAAACTATATTGACTCATGAAGTTCAGCTTTCACTGCAGTGGGGGGGAAAAAGCTGGACTGTGTCGCCCTCTAGAGTTTAAAACGTGTAAAGACAACATGCACAGGATTTGGCAGATAGGGAAACTTTTCAGGTATGAAAACCTTTTCTTTAAAATTACAACCGAGCAACCAACAGAACTAGACGGATAAATAGAAAACTAAAATCACTAGTTCCATTGACGGATTACCTAAATTAAAACATGGAAAAATGTCAAGTGAAATCTACCATTAGAACTAGCACCTTATATTATTGACTTAAACAAGATTCCATATCTTGTTGAAAAGTTACTTGCAAGTTAGTTTTCTTATTTATACTGTACTAGGATATTTACACAAGAAAATAAACTAAATTACTGAGTAAGACGCAGTTATTGGAGCATAAAGCTAAAAAGCAGTAAACTCATCAGGAAGGCCAGCTCTGTTTGGATGCTCCCTCCATTCAGTTCAGGTGGTGGGAGACAGAACAACTCTGGTTAAAACCTCATCTCCTACTTCTTGCATGAGTTGTTGAATTGGAGAGCGCCATCAGTGACAAATTGCTGCATCCTCGATGCACAAAACAGCATTAACACAGATCCTTCCCCTCAAGCAGCCGTTATTTTATGACCTTCTCTTCTCCCAACAAACGGTGTCTATATCCCACAGTCACTTTCACTTCCTTGTAGTTATTTTTGCATAAAGATGCAGAACACGCATTCCATTTGAATCTGAATAGTTCTCGTAATTACACTTTCAAAATTCTTCCTTCATACATTAGGCTAAACTGTAAGTTCTTTGTGTTAGTATTTCTACCTTTACCTAAATATGCAAATTTCAATTTGCCTGTTACTTTGCTGCTGATGCATCTGAATGTTCCCACAGACACTAAAGGACATTTCTGTCTTATTCTCACGGATGCAGATACACAGTGACGTTAATTCAAACATGCCCTTTCAATTAGTGAACAGGAAAAAACTAAAAAGAGGAACAATTTGGGTTTTCCAGACATAACCCTAAACTCGTAAATTCAATTTTATGCATAGAGCAGAAAAACTGAATTTTGTTTCAATCTTGTGGAAATGTTTTTAGCCCAATAAAGGCTACAATGACTAAACAAATAATAAAAAAAAGGATTTTATTCATTCATGAGTTTCTGCTGGAACATCTCTTACCTTTTGGTAAAAAAATAAAATGAATAAATGAATGAATAGCTGACAAACTGCCTGTTATAAAAATATGATTTTCGATATTTCCCGTTCCAACTAAAGATAAAAACGTTCTCACTAAACACTGAAGCATTTCAAAGGTTTTCCAAACATTTGAAACTTCAAACCACAAACCTTAACCCAGCTGCAATGAAAGAAAACCAGACTCAATATTCACATTTAAAAGAAAAAAATGACAAGATTTAATTACCATCAGAAATACAGAACAAACAGGCCTGTCAGAAAGAAATACGCTTAACAGTTATATTTAATGTCTGCAGAGTTTGGTGCGTTTGAGTCCATGGGATCTAAAATCTCTGTCCAATGCAGAAAGAAACTGATGGCCTGCTTAGTGATGAACATTTACATATTTAACTGAATTTTATAAACAACAAAAATATGCAGCATATCAAAAATTAAATCCTACACAATAAATCATAACTTGTTTTTTCTTTTTTTTCTGCTGAATCATGTTTAAACTTTTGTACTTTGTGTTGCTGATGTTACCACCACAAAGAAAAAGTTACATTTCCTCCTTAAATATGAAACTTCATCAGGAAAAAAAAAAGGCAGATAATTGCAAATAAAGCTGGACTATTTGCAGCAAGAGCAAGTTTTAACCTCTTGCTGCAAATCAGGTTAAAAGCCGGAAACAACAAAAAGAAAAAGGCATCAAAACATGAAAATATGTATTACTTTATGTATTATTTTAATAAGAAACACCAACAGGGGATTCCACTGGAAACTTTCTGCTCTGAAGTCATCTGAAATACTAAAACGCTTTGTGTGTTACAGTGTCGGCCTTCAGTGTCTTGGTCCACCCAGTCGCAGATGGGGACCAACTGTAAAAACGTAAAAATAATTGTTTACTCACAGAAATCATCTTAAAACTAATCCTGCAATTAGTTTGTCTAAAAAGGCCAAAGATCTCAAATGAAGAGATTTACCTGGTGTTGACAGAAGAGGAGGACGAGAACCCTTCAAGGACGGAGGGGCCGCCCTGGGCCTGGACCGGAGGCCCGGGTAGAGCGGAGGAGCGTGGTGGAGCAGCGGCCCTCGGGACAAACCTGGAGGTCCGTACAGATCCAGAGAGGACGGGGGGACCCGGGAACCCAGGGGTCCTAAAGACATCCCAGGGGGAGTCCGATGCAAAGACAGGAGCGGAGGAGGTTTGGTTTTGGGGAAAGAGCCTGAGGAGGAAATCATTTCAGGACACAAAGATGAAAAATACCAGTGTGTCTCCAAAGCACCGATAATCACTGCAGTGTTGGTAACTAGGCATGGGCTGGTATGAGACTACCAATTATGATTACAGTGTTATTTCACCTTTTCTTTAGCATGCTTTGATGTGAATGCTAATTAAATGTTAGCTGAATTGTGAGCCGATCTTCAGCCTTTCACATGACCTGCTGCTGCCAGAGCCACTGCTGTTCTAAAGAACAATTAGGACAGATGTGAATTTAACTAGAGTTTCAAATCACCACAACCTCTAGTCAGCCAACTTCATCTGGAAACTGCTTTTAGATCACAGGTGATGTGGAAATTTCATTCCCCTCTAGCAAACGCATTCATACTTAATTTTCAGCATATAACACAATTAAGCTCTACTGATAAAGTTTGCATCCAATCGCTTTAATCATGTTGTTGTTTAGATCCAGAAAACTTGCGCATGC